CTAAGCTTCGTATGGTTGTTTTAATTTCGGGAGAAAATAAAGACAAAATCTGTCCAACATTTGGATATTTTTTTTTATTATGCTGTTACTCGATCTAAGTTTTCGGCACACATGAACCACCTTCAGCTGTGTTATATGAACATTACAACAAAGATATTCACTATCAAAGATAATATCCTGTTATGTGTTACACAGAAGATTGATATGCAACGATAACGGTTGCGAAATAGCAGACTTATGTCGTAAATTCATCTTCAGGGGTTGCCATATGCCCCAGTCGACGAATGGGTTTATAAGGCGATCATACGCCGACTAGGAGATATATACATTCTAACACCTGTGGAGAGATACAAGCTATCTCTCCCAGATCGTGACAATGGGCAATTGGTAAACAAAAATATTTTTAAGACCACTGTTCAATTGGGATAATCGAACAGTAATCTTTCCCAGATCCGCTTCGTTTTCAACACGAATACTGATCCACAATACAAGGATGAACTATAAAACTTAGCGATTTTTGATACAAGAATTTTAATATATACAAATATACAAATATTAAAATAAAAGAAAATGTAAGTATGAGTTAAAACATCCGACGACCAGATCTCAAAACTTACGTTGGGATATCAAAATTCGCCTAACTCCAAATGGATTTGACTGAACCCGAACGTACAAAAATATAAGTAAGAATTACTATGAATTGAATGCAGAAGCCAACGCATACACAAAAGACATGGGATAGGAGTTGCAATTATTGTTTTGACATGTGGAAAGATGTTTGCAAGAACATAATATTCATGGATGTATGTATATCTTTCTACTACGGGTCCAAAATATGATTACTTATCTTTTATATTCAGTTCTCTTTTTTTTATCATTGTCCTTTCTTTTCTTTTCTCGACACAAACACAATTTCACATACTGTCCGGCTGTAACAGAGGTATACACTTTCTTCCTCTCTTTGTTTCGCCTTTTTCTTTCCTTCCCTTTTCTTCTGTAGACAGTTCGGTTTCCAAACTCACTGCAACAGGGGTATACACTTTCATCCTCTCTTTGGTTTTCTTCTTTCTTGCCTTCTTCTTCTTCTTTACACAATTCAGCTTATAACAGAGGTATATACTTTCTTCCTCTCTGTTTTCCTTTTTCTTTTCTTCACACAATTCAACTTGTAACAGAGCTATACACTTTCTTCCTCTCTTTGGATATCCTTTTTCTTTTTTTACACAATTCAACTTGTAACAGAGATATATGCTTTCTTCTCTGGATACCCTTTTTCTTTAAACGCAGGCTGAATCCTCAGCCTATAAATTTCTCTGCGTCTTCAATTTGGGTTTGTCGAACAGGAATACTTCTTGTTATATTTCTTGTCCGGAGTTACCTGGGTTGAACTGGATAAGTTCCATCACTATCAAATGCGTCTTATCTTTCCGTTCATAAACTATCAGCGCTTTGGCTTCAAATCTTGTCTCTTCCAAGTCCAGATAGCAACTGATTCTCGAGTGAATCTCTGACTATCACGTGTCTTATGTTTTGGCGCGAATTCCAGCTTACATCAGTCCCCTGTCTAGCTTCTGTCTAGACATTTGTCGCTACGGGTAATTGGGTCAGTCAACCTTTTTACCTGCCTTCCCAAAATGTCATAAGACTCCCACGTGACCTTTATTCTGTTGCTAGGCGGAAATTAACCTTAGTATATGCGTGTATGCGTGTTTAGGCTATCTGCTTTCGTCGCAGAAGAATATTGAAAGTACTTGGGAAATGAAAATAAAAGAAATTTAAACAGCTATAGCACATTTCTCCTGTATGGCGTCCATGATTCTGACCCATAAAGACGTGTGGTGAGAATGACTGCTCGATAGACACCATTTTTTTGTTTTCAGTGAAAATGCCACGAACATCCCATAGGCGATGCTTAAGCATCTCAAAGGCATTGAACTACAGACTATCTACACAAAAGTTTTGTTTAGAGTGGTGAAGGGTTCTGTAGAACCAGCCACACTTATTGAAGTTGGTGCAAATATTTGCCACGAACAATGAACAACCCTCAGGTTTTATTATCACGGAGTTCTACCTCTCCAGTACTACTATTGCACAGAAGAGTGCAGCGCTTTTCGATGGTAATTTCACATGATTTAGCCCAACTGCTGAAGCGGTTTACAGAGTTTGGCGCGTCGAGATTTAGGAGACTTAGATATATACATATATATATATATATATATATATATATATATATATATATATATATATATATATATATATATGATATATATATGTGTATAAATATATATATATATATATATACACATATATGTATATATATATAATACGCATATATATTATTGAGGGGTTTATCCCTTTTTATACAAATGGACTCATCCAGTGTATACTTATACTACTGCCAGGGCATACCCGAACAGTCGAGTCGAGTCCAGAGTGACAGAGTAAAAGGTTGTAAGTAACCGGAAGAGTGAGGGTAAGGTAACTGTGTTGTAGGAGTCACAGTGAGCGAGCACGTAAACTCGGTAAGAAGTCATACAGCGATACTTCAATAGCAAAGACTGTATAGATATTTTGCTACTAACCCGTATTCCTGGAACTACTAACCTGCTTTACCAGTTTGTATTATTACGTTCATACATTATTTTCATATACTCATTCCTGGCGTTTGTTATTTATTGGTACCGTATTTCAAGCCGGAATCCACAACATATATATATATATATACCAGAAAATTTATACAGAAAATTTACCAGTAAAAAATTCGTATATCACCATATTTGTACATGAACGCACAACTGTAAAAAATTTAAAATCAAACTCAGCGTTGCTACTGTGCGCTCCAAAAACAATAACTCATTTCCAATAGCATTTTCGGATACAACAATACATATATTTTCGTTGTTCTCTTATTACTAAGAGAAAAAACAAGAACAACATCTATTCCATACCTGAAGATGTCTGTAGTAACAGACGAAAGCTTGTAGTAAAAAATAAGAACTAATACGGCAGAAATTTATAAAAACAAGGATCATTTCATTCATAACGGATTCGGAGGTTTTGTATATTATTTGAATTGTTTGCGACGATGGATTTCTCGCCAATTAAATCATTAACCTTTGCATTTGTTTTTTTTGTGTGAATAATTCATGAATATATATATATATATATATATATATATATATATATATATATATATATATATATATATATATACAAGCATGTATGTAGTTAATGTATGTTCTGGTAGCAAACTTCTTTCAAATATCTTCCATTCAATATAGCCGATAAGGAAGATTGAAATAATTTTTCATTAATTTTTTGCAGCATCCTAACATATTTTCCGTTTTGTAGGATTCCAGCTATATAAAAAAACAATGCACATATTTGCTATAGTCTCAAACGCTTTTGGCAACTTCTATAGCCATTTTCAATGGTCTTTTGTCTATGGTATCGTTATTTTTTCCTCATGTTTTGACTGTTACGGTATAAATTGTCTGTTTTTTTTTTTAGTTTTTTATTTATTTTGAAAAAGGAGCGTTTAGTCCAAGCTCTTTCATGCCGCGCGCGACTAGAATTTACGTGGGCATCATTCTATTTTTTATTTTAAAAAAATCTTTCAACTCAATTGAACAGCTAACAACAAAAAAAGAAATGAATCAAGTGGTCTTCTAAAAGCGGAAGGTTTGAAAAACCGTCCTCTACACAGAAAACACAATAATTTCCTCATACACTCACATAATATCCTCAAATATATATATATATATATATATATATATATATATATATATATATATATATATATATATTGTGTATATTTAGGCAGCATATTTTCATTCAAACAGGATTTCATGTCGAGTAGTTTTCGTTGTGATCCTTTTAACTTTGCAGATTAATTTCTTGGTAGCCTTAGAAAATTGATTTTTTCACCGTTCGAATCTCACCATGGTCTATTTGGCAGGAAGTCGACTCTCTGGGGTTTATTGGATCGAGGTCGATCACAGCATGCGACCCCATTTGGAATTGCCTGAAAACCATACCAGGGGTTGAGCGAATTCTTGTGGGCCGTTGATAGCTGTGTAACACGAAGCCATAATTCATCTTGGCCGAGCGCTTGTGCGTGTTGCCCTTGTTCAAATTGTTGATCACGCTAGTTCACACGCTCTCTCCCAGAACTAAGGTCTGCTCAGCAAAGTTGCAGTAAAAACCACAGGTGGACTCTGTGGGTGTTTAGCAAACACAAGTGTGCCTGATCGAGAAATACAGATTGGCTAGCCTCCCTAGTAGACGGGTATCCTCGAATACGAGTGGCCAACTATTATATATATATATATATATATATATATATATATATATATATATATATATATATATATATATATATATATATATCAATGTATGTATATATATATATAGTATGTATATATAATATACATGTATATAATATATGTATATATCGTATATATATATCGTATATATATATATATATATATATATATCAATGTATGTATATATGTATATATAGTATGTATATATAATATGTATCTATATAATATGTACATGTATATATCGTATGTATATATTTATGCTATGTATATATATGTATATTATATATATACAATGCAATATATATATATATGTATATGATATGTATGTATGCATGTCTGTATCTATCTACAAAACACACACACACATATATATATATATATATATATATATATATATATATATATATATATAATAATATAAAGGCTCAGACACTAATATTCCATGGTTATAATTTATTACGATTCCAGTGTAATAAATTATAACCATGGAATATTAGTGTTTGTGCCTTTATATTATATTCTTACTCTGTCCTGAACATTGAGTTCTACCTGGATTCTATCCTCCTGGGAAATATATATATATATATATATATATATATATATATATATATATATATATATATACCGTCGTTAACTGAGGCAAGAATTGATCTGTCTATTTTAACACATCCAAAATTAAACATAGATAGATAGATAGATAGATAGATAGATATTATTTGATGCGTACACTCCAGCCGAAACTGGAAACAAATTCGCTCTCCCTGTGGTGTATTCAATCTTCAAAACGGGTTCAGCAAATCGACAGACCATACTTGGTACCAGCCTTCAAAAAACCACACTATTAATCCACTAAATATTTTCATTGCTCCAGTCAATCAATGTACTCCACGAGGATTTCCCGCTTTCACTGAATTCTCAGACTCAACAAGTCAGCCTTGCACTCAAAGAAGAAAGACTAATCGTTTAAAACACAGTGGGCGAATTATCGGTATTCCTTCCGCTAGACTAAGAATTAAAAGAGGGGCTTATAAAATGTTTCTTTCATGCAATATCTGCGCCCCTCTTATTAACATTAGCGCTGATCAGACGCTATAAGTACGAGAAACTAAGCAAACTATTAAGAAAACATAAAATGTAGTTAGGAACAGTGAACAATTATTTAACTACCTAAATATTAATCCTCCTAAAGAACAACGAATGCTGGACTATTTCCTCACAGGTGAAGAGGAGATTTGAAGCAACAAAAACAAAGAAAAAAGAGTGCTGAACTGCTATGTAATATCAATCCTCCTATATGGCAGTGAATGCTGGAAAATTTCCTCACACATGAAGAGGAGATTTGAAGCAACAAAAAACAAAGAAAAGAATGCTGAATAGCGATGTAATATCAATCCTCATATATGGCAGAGAATATTGGACAATTTCCTCACAGATGAAGAGATTTGAGGCCACAGAGTCAAAGAAAGCATTGCCGAACCATTATGAATGATCAATAATCCTATTGAATGTGTCGCTGTTCTACAGAAGGATATTGAGAATAACATTAACGGAATATGTGAAAGGCATGAATTTTTAAAGGAAAATGGCAAAAGAGATATTGATATCCCCAGAATCAGAAACAAAATTTGAAACGTCTCTCACATATACTGGGTAAATAGCAGGACAGATTGGGTTCTATAGCCTTGGATGGCAACTGGTCTAGGAGAAGGAAAAACTCTGAATTCAAAACCTGCGGAGGGTCCTTTGGGGACCTTGTGGCACGTAGTGCACCAGGTATCTGTATTCGGCCCTTCAAAAAGTGTGGATGGTCCTGCACGAAACCTTCACCACTATAATCAAATCTCATGTGCTATATACACAGGTTGGGGACCGCTTGTGAATTCCAAATTCCCATGAAACTCCAATATTGGAGCCGGCTCAACCCATCTCGGGTGAATGCCGTTACAAGAACAAGAAGAACATATACTGAGGAAAGATGGCGCAGAGAATTTGACACTCAAATGACATACTGAAGACTAGAGGAGCAGAAGTAACGTTGGGTATCCCTGGAGACGAGCTTGTGTAAATGTTTAGAAAAACAGGGTTTGAGAAGGATAGTAAGTAGACAAATTTTGCTTAGAGCTACAAAGGATAGGAATGTGTGGAGAGACATGATCGCCTGAAGAGAGACAGCATAGTTTAGTTTGTTCTTTTCAGCGAAGAAACGTATGGATGTACTTAGGCATTTTCCCACCGTAAATGAACATCTATTGACTGCTAAGTTAAACATTAGTAAAAGGGATTGTCATATGTACCACATTAAAATGCCCACCCCACACGCAGATCAGCTGAGCCGATTAAGTCCTTTCTCGCCTTAAAGAGGCTGTAAAGCATAAAAGAAAAAACACACCAAGAGAATTGCTGAATTTATTATTAATCCTTGTACTCGGTTCAGTGTGTTCAAGTAATGATTGTCTTTTTATTTTTCTTTGGATGTTTGCTATTCACACAAAGCATGTTATTTGTCCATTTGCGCAATCATAGAACTTTCACTTAAGAGTTTATGATTAGGAGTGGTTTCCATTTTCAGATGTTCATACACATACGGAGCGCTCCCAGTTAAAAGGTCTTCTTCCCGCTCGTTATTTCTTTTCTATTCACAAATAATTACACCATTTCTTCATCTTGGATGAACAAATACTACAGTAACGAAAACAATGATTGGTGAGCCTCTTTAGATGCAGAGTAAAGTAAAAAAAGAATTTTGAACGGAGTGCACTGTCAGAAACATAGTTAGCTTTTCACTTTTCTTTCTTTTCTTTTACATTTTTTCTCTTTTACTTTTTTTTTTTCTTTTTGTCGTATCTCTTTTCTACATTTCAACCTCGTAAAAGGTATTTTTTTTTGTGAATTATGACAAGCCATATTACATTGAAACACTCTCATGTGATCACAGCATTCAAGGAACGTCAAGCCCGGTCAGAACCTTTACGGTTGATTGCTTTAGAATACCGAGCGCTGTAAGCTTTGACGTCCGGCTGTTATAATGAATAACGGCTGGGAATTTACAATCTGAGAGCGGAGTTCAAAATACAGCAAGGTTCGTTATATTCACTCACGCAGAAATACCCTTGGGGAACGTATGCATCCATCCCTCCCACCACCATCACAAGCTACGGGTTCATTAGTAAAACTTGTATCAATAAATCTTTATTATCTCAAAAAAAATTCTTAAACTCGAAAATAGTTTCTGGCTGTAACGAATCTGCTAAGGGTTGATAAGCCGTAAATAACGTTCAGTCAATAAATAAATTAACTACTGTTTAACAAGCAAAAGAAAATATGACACTGAGATACGAGGGCATATCGGAATAGTGAAAGAGGCCTTCACAAAGTTAAGCAAAGTATTATGAAACAGAAAAATATGAGAAAAAACGTGCTATTTGATATCAATTATCCTCTATGCTAGAGAATAATGGCCAGTTTCGTCACAGACGAAGAGAAGACTTATCACAACAGAGATGTGGTTCTACAGAAGGATGCTGAGAATAACATGCTTGTAATATGTGAACAACGACGAAATTCTAAGAAAAATTGGAACAAAAGAAATTTCTGAAACACATAATGAGGAAAGACGGTGTGGAGAATTTGACACACAAATGATATATTGAAGACAAGAAGAGTAAAGGGAAGCATTGAATAATCTACTTAACTGGCTTGTGTGATGATTTTTTAAGGCGAAAGTACGGGGTACCCAATGAGGATTGAACTCACTACTCAGTCGTAATTGTTCTAGCGAGACAAACTTGCTAACCATTACACCACATCGGGATGCTCTAAATGATTTTCTAATTGTAGCTTAGATGTGGCACAAGGCCGAAAGTGTGGGGCACCCAGTGAGGATCGAACTCACTACTCAATCGTAATTGTTCTAGTGAGACAAGCTTGCTAACCATTACACTACGCTGAGGTGTCCTTTAACTGGCGTGGCAGTTCATGGGCTTGGCGAGATAATAAGAGAACAAAAATGATATTGTGGAGAGCCATAACCGCCCACATCCTGAAGCCAGATGAAACAGGGTTTTCTTATTCACTTTGAAGGCTGTTTTAATTTACTCCCACTTGGGAAATTTACACTATTTTCTTTGTCTAAAATACATTCCAAATATAAAAATATTTTAAAAACTAATATTTGAAGTTTAGTCATTTGGGATTTTCAAAATATTGTCTTTATTTCAAAATTCTCAGTAGATTTACCTGAATGTTTTCCAAATTGACAATTTATCTTTTAACCCGTACTCCTCCCTTGATAAAGAATAAAATCTGAAATCATAATTCTTGAAAGAAATTTGGTTTTTTTTTTAATCACTTCACCCTAAGCGTGACAATAACGCGACTATGGCAAAAGGAGAATGAAAGAATAAGGAAAAGTAAACGTTATTAAAGAGCGGGAAAAATAAAAGAAGAGGAATCAAGAAAACAGTAGATAACGATTGACATTGCATTTAAATTTTGGAACATTAAAGTTGACCAATAAAGCCACTACGACTGATGGGGTTACTAAGAATAAGAATAAGAAAACATTAGTAAGAAGCGAGAACAATAAAAGAAGAGGAATCAAGAAGACAGTAGATAACGATTGACATTGTATTTAAATCTTGAATATTAACGTTGACTAATAAAGCTACTAAGACAGAAGGGGTTACTAAGAATACGAAAAAGAAAACATTAGTAAGGAGCGAGAAGAATAAAAGAAGAGGAATCAAGAAGACAGTAGATAACGATTGACATTGCATTTAAATCTTTGAATATTAAAGTTGACTAATAAAGCCACGAAGACAGAAGGGGTTACTAAGAATAAGAAAAAGAAAACATTAGTAAGGAGCGATAGCAATAAAAGAAGAGGAATCAAGAAGACAGGAGATAATGATTGACATTGCATTTAAATTTGTGAAGATCAAATTTTGCTAGAGTGCAAGAAACCGGAAAAACGTCCATGAGTAAGACGTGCGTGAAAAGAAACTGTTAGGTAAAAAATGTACAGTTACGTCTCTCCAGTTAAATTGTAAATGGATGAAACCTTGACTCCAATCCAGTATTACGTTTAAATTCATAAATTCTACGCGCGATAGAAGTGAGAGAGAAAAAAAACTAATACCATGAAAATATTTATGCAAAAAACACAGGGAAGTTACGTTAGAAATAATTTTAAGATTAAGCATTTATTTATAATCTTTTAAAATTCCCAGTTCCACATTTTTAAATAATGGAGGGAACTTTGTTTCGTTTTTCGTATTCTACGTTTGGACTTTGCTCAAGTTTTAAACATCATGTACACTATCGAATATATCTTCGTTGTTTTACAGACATTTGTGCCAATGGTTCTTGCATGGCCACGTCAAAATGTTACCATTTATGTCACTTTATTATTATTTCATCTCTCCTGAACTGCAACTTTTTGGATGTGGTCATATATGTAAAACGTTTACAATGAGCTAGGCTGTATTTTTTATTATTTGATTTGATATCTTCGACTCTTCGAAATTTCGACCCGACAAGACACATCACATGAGCTGTGCTGCTACCTGTCCACACCCAATAATATCCCGCATCTTCAAGGCATCCTGAAACGGTAGAAACATTCCTGGAAATAGTTCACGTGCGCCAACCAGAAAAGGGAGAAAAATTGCAGTGTTTGGTTTATTCCTCTGATTTGCCCGTTCAAGATTTTTCTACTTCTGTAATTTCGTCTGCACCGCCATTAAGGTTTTCTTATCCCAAGTTACTGCAATGTCTAT